GCGCAGCCGCCGAGTGCCACGGCACCATGGTGCTCCGGGGGGTGCCCTGGCACCGCGCAGGGCGCTGCATCGCGCCGCCCGCTCCTCGCTCCTGTCTGCAGGAGCAACACAGCTGCCCATGGGCTGGTGCCCGCTGCTGATGGCTTTCAGCTCCGGAACAAAGTGAGGTCTCTGGACAGCTAGACAGCTCAAAAGCAGGCTGTGCTTCGTGCGCTTCAACCCCAGCGCAACCTCAAAAGGATTTTTCAATGTCAGCAGCTCGGAGCAGACATGTGCACGTGCCACAATTGTATTTTTATTTCCTGATTTAAGTACAGTGATGCAGCCTCAGTGCCAGCAAATTCATATTTGGGACTATGAAAAAGCTTAAGTCAAAATGCAGCCAACAGCAGGAACTCTTGCTTGTAATACCCTTCTCTGTTACCGTCCTCGTTTGCGTCATGAATTGTAACCAAACATGGCTCTCTGGGGGTTAGACAAAGCAGTGTGTAGACACACACCAGCATTTGGGTAAACGTGAAAAAAAAATAATAATGCAGTCCTTTGGTTAGTATAAAGAGAGGCTAGTGTGAGGATAACATTTAAATCAAATTTAAATTCTCCTTTGTGCTACACTCACGCTGTCCCTAACGAGCAGAGGTGAAGTCAGTGTGTTTTGAAGTGCAGCACAAACCTTCTGCCCGTGCCCGGGTGATTCTGTGTCCATCGCTCGAGTTCCCACGTTCCAGGCTGGGCATTTTCAGCACTCAGTCTCATTCCATGGGAGGATTCATAGCAAGGCCCGTTGCCTGTCCCAGCAATAGTGTTTCCAAATGGATGTCATCCGACTAATTTGGCTTTAAAATTACTCTATTTTTTAGCACAGTCGAAACGGGTGTTATTTCAGGGTGTTCTAGCAAGTGGTTTATATCATCCCATCTAACACGCCTCGGTCAGTTGGTTTTGTTTTACAAAAATCGATACCCTGTGCTTTAATAAAAGTGAGAGAACCAACTTAACGAGAGACTCTAATTTGGTAAGCAAAGCAGTGGGATCCTTTCACTCGTATTTCTGTTTGATAAATGTTTTGATTATCTTAGTTGCAAGTGACGCCTGTGGGCTTTTCCCGTCTTTCCTTTTTAGTTCACTCTTTTATCTGTCTTTAGCTGGCACTCGAGGGAGGGGATTCCAGAGGGTGAGCGGGGATGGCGTGTCCTGCCGACTGCAAGCACCGAGATCCCGAGGGCAGGCTCTGCCTGCTGCGCTCGGTTCTGCCCTCCGTGCTTACAGACCGGTTCCAGGGCAGCTGGG